ACGGTGGCAGAGGGAGTCCTACCGCGTCTCTAGTCCTGACAACTTGGCGCGGAGGAATGTTTGTGGCTGCCACTTTTGGTTCAACGTGTCAATTCATCGGGGTTTATACCAGTGATACTACAAGTAGGTATTTATTAGTGAAGCGACAGCGCGCAATAGGTACAGAAAGGAAGTGAAAAGCGCAGGGCAGGCCGGGGCAAGAAGGTGAAGGTGACGGCTACGCTTGGACCAGGGCAAAGTACCGGAGACTTCTTCCGTCATAGGGGCCTGCAAGGAGCCGGGGTGCTTGCCTCGGGGGTGGGGCCGCGCCTGGCTGTTAGTGGGCTTTTTTTCCCGCCATCAAAGTCGCAAGTTCGCAAGACACGCTACGTCATTGACCATCACCAGCTTCCCACCCAGCCTGCTCTGCTGTGCTGTTGTCCAAGAAGGGGGGAAACAACCTAAGCACACAAGCTGCAGCTGAAAGGACAGAGGTGCTAACTTGGTGGTGAAGCAAGCTAGCTGGCTAGAGCTGAAGGGGAGCTATGAGGCAATTGGAGGGGCTCGTTTCCCACCTCATCCATTTCATGGGATTGCCGGTTGGTTAGGTTCCCTTCTCCCCCCTTTGCCCTGTTGGTCTGCTGGATGATCTGCATCCCTATGATTATATCCCTATCCCCCGGAGACCTGAACCTCCGCACATTTCGGTCTTGTCTGCTTGACTCTCCCTCTGCCCAATTCTTTTTGCCTTTTTCCTCTCGTGTTCACCCAAGCACTAGGTAGTTGACTTGGATTTTGACGGCGTAGTCTCAGCTACGACTGGTCCATCATCTTCATCCACATCCAAGACAAACACACCCAAGAGAATCAAGCATTGTTCATGGTAGCAAGATGAACTACGACGAACACACGGTGCCGACCGGCGGCCAACACTACAGCGGCCGGAACCGCATTCCAAACATCCACGAGTTCGTCGCCCAGCTCGACAAGGAGAAGCGCGAGCGCGACGCTGCCATTGAAGCCGAGGATAAGGAGCACGCGAGGATCGCCAAGGAAGCTGCCCGCCAGAAGCAACAGAACGGCAACACTACACAACAGCAACAGCAACAACAGCAAAATCTCCAAGACACAAAGGATCATGTCCCCGAGAAACCAAAAGGTGCTCGCAAGAAGACCAAGACCGTGCGGGACCCCGTCACTGGCAAGGATGTCGAGATTGAGAACCCAAAGGAAAACTTCAAGGACGTAGTTGAAGACCCTCACGTGAGATCATCCCATAATCCTTCGTCTCCCCCCGGGCATCAAGTCCCGCCCGCTCTAGAACTATTGCTAATACGACAATCGGCAGATATCCGTCCCCAACAAGAACCTCGGAAAGGACGCTACAGTCTCCACCTCCCCTAACCAGTCTGGCGAGGAGTACCGATGGGCCCAAGATGTCACAGCACCGCCCGACCCCGTCGAGCCCGGAAGCACCACCGACGTGCCCATCCACAGCGAGAAGACCAATGTGAACTTTTTCCACACCCCCAGCGTCAGCTACGAGCCCATGTTTGAGCACCTCGAGAGACGCGGCAACATTCTGTGCGCTGGTATTTTCTTTTCCATCGTCATCGTTGGCAAGTTCTTTGGTGGCTCGCTCTATGGCCTGCTTCCTCTCGGAGCTTGCGTTGCCTCTGGTGTCTTTTTGTGGATCAAGGACCTCATCACCCAGGGAAGAAACACGGAATGGTCTAGTGAGCAAGCGCGTGGTGAAACTGCAACCGTCAACTTGGTACCTGAATCAGTCGAGGTGCGTAATCCCCATTTCCGCACGATGGTAACACGAAGCTAACAAACTCCAGTGGATGAACACGGCCGTTGGCATCATGTGGAACCTCATTAACCCTGAGATGTTTGCTGGCGTTGCCGATACCCTCGAGGACGTCATGGTTGCCTCAGTGCCCGGCGTCATCGAGAATGTGCGCGTTGCCGATATCTCGCAGGGTAGCAACCCGCTCCGCATTCTCAGCCTGCGCGCACTTCCCGATAGCCACGTCAAGGACATCAAGGACGAGGCTCACAAGCAGAACCAAAAGAACACTGACCCTAACGAACTGGCTGCCATGGAGCAAGCTGGTGACTTCTACAACCTGGAGGCCTCAGTTGCTTACCACGCGAAGCCGTCTGGCTCTGACGTTTCGTCCAAGGCCCGCAACATGGGAATGCAGCTCGTCTTCTACCTAGGTGTTCGGGGTCTCTTTGGTGTTCCCCTCCCAATTTGTAAGTGCACCAAAATACTTTTATCTCTGGTGGCATTATTGAACGACTCGTAGGGGTTGAACTTCAGGGACTTGTCGCAACCGCCCGTATCAGATTGCAGCTTACCCCTGAGCCGCCTTTCCTCAAGACCCTCACTTTCACTCTGATGGGCATTCCCAAGGTTCAGGCCGGTTGCACGCCGATGATTGAGAAGGGAGTCAACATCCTCAACTTGCCCCTCATCTCCAACTTTGTCAACTGGGCCATCGGTACCGCCGCTTCAATGTACGTCGCTCCCAAGAGCATGACTCTTGACCTGAGCAAGATGCTGCAAGGCGACGACATCAAGAAGGAGACGCTTGCGCTCGGACTCCTATTCATCCGTATCCACAAGGCAACGGGGCTCAGCAAGCAAGACCGCCGGGGTAGCGAGGGTGGAGGCTCGGATCCCTACATCACCGTCGCATGGAGCAAATTCTCCAAGCCCCAGTTCTGTACCCGTGTCATCCAAGATGATCTCAACCCCGTCTTTGAGGAGAGCTGCGGCCTGTTGGTCACAGCCGATTTGATCAAGGCGGACGAGCAACTCTCGGTCGAACTTTGGGACAGCGATCGCTCGTCTGCGGACGATGTCGTTGGCAAGGTCGAATTGAGCATTCAGAAACTCATTCAACACCCCGGCAAGATGTTCCCTCAGGTTTCCAAGCTTGCTGGCGTCAAGGCCGAGACCTCGATGCCTGGTGAGCTGCACTGGGAGGTTGGCTTCTTCGGCAAGACCCAATTCCGCAAGGCTCTTCGTACTGACGGCAAGGACGTCAACTTGCCCCCTGAACTGAGGGACAAGAAGGAGCTTCAGGACGAAAAGGGCACGATTGAAAACGACATGGAGGATGCCGTCGAGCACACTCCTCCCGACCCTCTCTGGCCCTCTGGTATTCTCAGCATCGTCGTCCACCAGATTGTTGGATTGGAGCTCGCCAATGTGAAGGGTTCCAACGGCAAGCGCAAGGGACGCGAGTACGAACCTGCGCGTCTCGATGCAGGCGAAGTCAAGGAGGAACAGGGCAGCAAGTTGCCTAGTTCCTACTGCACGATTCTCGTCAACGATGAACTGATCTACAAGACACGTACGAAGGCGGTTTCCTCGCAACCCATCTTCAACGCCGGTACCGAAAAGTTTATCCGTGATTGGAGGTCTGGCATCGTGACAATCACTGTCCGCGACTCCCGTAACAGACAACACGATCCCATCATTGGCGTTGTCCCTCTCAAGCTTTCCGACATCTTGCGATCTGGAAGTGAAGCCACAAGATGGTACCCTCTCGACGGCGGAGTTGGATACGGAAGAATCCGTATTTCCCTTCTCTTCAGGTCCGTTGAACTGCGTCTGCCTCCTGCCCAGCTTGGCTGGGATGTGGGTACATTCGAGTTCACTTCTCAAGAAATCACTGCGGCTGGCTACGGTAAATTGAAGACCAAGATCCGCCTTCGTACCGGTGGCAGCTCCTCTAGCATCAAGCGAGACGCTTGTAATAAGTTGGAGGAGCAAGACGGCTACTCGTGGAATATCAGTGGCGAGGACAAGCACGAGAAGATCCGTCTTCCTGTTCGTTACCGTTACAGATCTCCAGTATTTTTCGAGTTTTACCCTCCCGGCAAGCGCCATGCCGATGCGTTTGCGTCGCTGTGGCTCCAGGACTTCCCGGATTGCGAGGAACGCGACTTCGATATTCCCATCTTCAACTGCGACAAGGGCCTGCGTCTGTCACAGAACTACATCAACCAGGACAACTACAAAGAAATTCCCGACATGAAGATTGAGGAAGTTGGTCGACTCAGATTCAAGGGTCGCTTCTCCACTGGTACTGATGGCGACCACGTCAAGTTTGTCACTGACAACGATTCGCGCGAGACAATCGAGACATGGGAAGCCTGTTTCGCGGAAGGAGTACGAGGCGAGGAGGTCTTGGCTGAGGTGCCCCCCGCAGTTCAGAAGCTGCATGACGAGTCTCTTACCCAGGGCCGCGATGTCCTAGCCCAGACTGACCAGAAGGAGAAAGAGAAGTGGCTCTCCAAGGACGGAACTGATTGGAGCACTGCCTTTGGAAAAGACCCTACACAGATGATGGGTGGCGATAACGAGAATCAGGAAGATCTGAACTCGGAGGGACGCGATGATTTCGATACGGATTACGACGATGATGATAACAGCAGTGAGCCGGATCTCGGACTCACAGACGCCAGCACCAAAGACACCAGAGCAAGTAGCAATGATACACGACAGTCAACAGATAGCAACGCGAGTGCGGCTCCTTCAGACGCATCTCAGAAAAGCAACGGCAATGGACCTGTTGCCGCTTACAAGGACTACAAAAGCAGGAGCAGAGACCTGCACCGTCAACATCGGGGCCTGATGCAGTGGCGTCCGATGCGTAATGTGCAGTTCGCCAAGGACGAGGCCAAGTTTGCGATCCGGAAGATTACCAAGATGGGTGCTCTCAACGGTCGCAAGCCCGATGTCGAGACCGAAGTCTAAGTCCGTTCTTTTTGTCGAGAATAGAGAAACATGGGGATACGCGACAACGGCTGGGGTTATAGGAAACAGGGTACAGTCCGTTTTTTGACGGCCTTGGTAATGTTTATGAAGTATACCTACAAGAAACAAATTGCGATGAATGGGAGGAAGGCGTCTGGAGGTGTATTAGTAGTCAAAGCAGGCAAATAATAGTTTTGAACAATTCTTGACCGTGGTTCCGCGTGGGTCAAGTCTCTGGAAGAACGTCTCTGGCAAGTCGGGTTATCAGTAGGCTAATCTCCCCGCGTCTATTGTGGTCTATCTAACAGTGTCTATAGACTTTCTTCTTTATCGCTCGCATCTGTCTTCCTCTTTCCGCGTCCACCGAACCCCCATCCAATCTGGTTCGCCATCTTGACATTGGCCCCAAGTTCATCGGCATACGCATACACCAACCCGGGATTCTTCTGGAACCACCGACCGCACATAATCACATCTAACCCCTCCTGGAGGAACCCCTCCGCCATGGTCCCCGTACTAATCCCACCCACAGCCGAAACAAGCATGCTCTCCCCGACAACTTTTTTGACCTCCTTTGCGAAACCGGCCTGGTACCCGGGTCCGCCCTTGATACTCGTCGCCTGCAGCGGATGAATCCCGCCGGAGCTCACGTCCAGCAGATCGACGCCCCGCTCCGCGAGTAAAGGCGCCAGCCTACACGAGTCGGCGAGCGTCCAGCTGTGCGGGACGAGGTCCGTCCTGTCGTCGAACCAATCCGTCGCGCTGATGCGGACGAAGAGCGGTATCCCTTCGGGGATCGCGGCGCGGACGAGGGAGGTGATCTCGAGGAGGAGGCGGGTGCGGGTTTCGAAGGAGGAGGAGCCGTAGGCGTCGGCGCGGGCGTTGGAGATTGGGCTGAGAAATTGGTGGAGGAGGTAGCCGTGCGCGGCGTGGATTTCGACGACGTCGAAGCCGGCGCGGACTGCGCGGAGGGCGGCGGCGACGAAGGCTTCTTTGAGGGATTCGATTTGCGGGAGGGTTAGGGGTTTGGGGAGGGGGTATGCGTCGTTGAAGCGCAGTGCGGAGGGTGCGTAGACTTTTTCTGGCCAGCCGTGTGCTTCAGGGGGCGAGGTCGCGTTGGCGTGGATGAAGGGGGCGACGGTGCTCGCTTTGCGGCCTGCGTGACTCAGCTGGATCCCGATTTTTTGGTTTTGGGAGTGGGCGAAGTCGGTGATGCGGCGGAGGGGCGGGATCTGGGCGTCGGACCAGAGGCCTAGGTCTTGCGGGGTTATGCGGCCTTCCGGGAGGACGGCGGTGGATTCCATTAGGGTGAGGCCGGGCCCGCGTTGGAGGATGCCGCCTAGGTGGGTTAGATGCCAGTCTGTTGCGAGGTTTCCGGCGGTTGGGTCGGCGGAGTATTGGCAGAGGGGAGCGAGGAAGAGGCGGTTTTGGAGGGTGAGGGAGCGGATTTTGAGGGGCGTGAAGAGTTTTGGGAGGGGAGAGGAGGATGTTGGGAGGGCTGTGCCGGAGGGGGGAGATTGGGATGGGGTGTAGTAGGGTGCATCTTTGGCTGCTGGGTTCTCGATGAGTTCGAGGGGGACAGGGTCTGGTGTTTTGGTGGCGTGAGAGGCCATCTTGAGAGCTGGGTTGATTATTTGGAGATGGGGATGTAAGGTGAGGCTGGATGGCGGGATAGGGGACTATTGGAATGGGAGTGAGGCGTTGGCAATTTTATACTGAATAGCGAATTCGATTCAACTTCATATGCTTCAGCTTAGACTTGGTAGATCGTGTGTTTTGTCAGCACCGTGTACTACCCAAGGTCTGTTGCCGACATCTTCTCGGCGCGTGTCGTTGATGGCCGAGTGGTCCGGCCCCGTAGTGTGGGTCTTCGGCCGCTTCATCCGTGGTGTCAATGGGCCGGGGACGAGTCGGCGCGCGCCGGAGCACCGTGAACCATCAACTTAAGGCTTTGAAGGTCGTTGTTTTCGGGAACTGCTTCCGCTAGTCCAGAATATTGTTACGCGGTAGCACTCAAAAAGAGGCCGAGAAGCTTGGTTTGGCGGCTGACTGTCTGTTGGGGGCAGTCGGCACCGGGCATGCTTCACCGTCGGCTAGATGGCTCATCACGCCGAGACCTAATTCCTTGAGCTTGAAGTTGAGACTTGATGTAAGTTATGCTCAAATTGTGAATAAGAAAATGCAGGCATATAATCTTCCTTCGGAACTTCTTCAGATACCAAAGGAAGTAAGGGTTTGGTGATTATTCCTACGCCTACTTGGCCACGGTCTTGTAAATGGAATTATACCCACAAAGCGACTCCTCCTCCAGCGTCGCAAAGTCCCGCCCAGCAAATCTTTCCGGCTCCAGAGCCTCCAACGTCTCCTGGTCTGCCCCCTCCCCATTCACAAGTCCCGTCAAAAATTTGGCCGTCCCAGCAGCGTGCGTAACCCATACGGCAACAGCCATGTACAACCCAGGCACCGACCTCACAGCGCCGGCGAGCGGCATGTTATCAGGCGTCATTGAGAAGATCCCATTGAAGCTCCTGCTCTTACTCTGATTCTCACTCGCGTCCTCCTCAAACTCCGCCGCAGTCGCGGGGGGTAGCAACTTTCTAGCAGCCTCGAGCGTCTGCCGGAAATCAGGGATCCAAACTCCAATCGCAGTCCCGTCTTCCGCGTTCGGCGCGCAGCCTACAGGCGGGTGGTCGTAGCTTCCGATGCCGTAGCGGGCGCCGTGATCTCTGGCGTAGACGTGGTGTTCCGGCCAGCGCACAAAGGGCAGCGATTTTGAGTCTTCTCGAACAGGTAAGGGACGTCGGGCGCGGGCATGCATGTAAGGGTGTCCGACGGGGATGACGGGGACGGGGAAGGGGAGGTCGCGGCAGAGGTCGCGGGCCCAGATGCCCGTTGTGAGGATGACTTTATCGGCTTCGAGTTGCTGTACGGAGCCGAGGTTGAGGACCTGGACGCCCTTGATGCGGCCGTCTGATGTGAAGAGGAGCTTCTCGACAGAGCTCTGTAGGAGCTTGACGCCTGCTTTCTTTGCAGAGGCTTGGTAGAATGATGTGATTTTGCATGCGTCGGCGGTCCCGTCGGTAGGGAAGAAGACTGCAGCTCCTGCCCCTGACGAATCTTCTCTCTGTTCTCTGACTAGTTCCGGCGCGAGTATATGTGCTTTATCCAGGCTCAACATCTCAGCATCTAGGCCGCGCTGTGCTGCAGCTGCGCATCTGGCTCTGAGACGCTCGAATCCTGCGGGCTGGAAGGCGATTTCTAGGCCGCCGACGGTGTCGAACCCCCCGGGGATTTTGGTGTATTCTGATACTGAGTCGATGGCTAGCTTGGTGAGGACTGGGGACTCGTTGAATTGGCCGACGAAGCCGGGCGCGTGGCCTGTTGAGCCGAGGAGGGGCCCGAAGGAGCGGTCGATGAGAGTGATTGCTCGCTGGGTGGTAGACGAGGAGGAAGAGGAGGATGAGAGGAAGTGGGCTAGGGCGGAGCCGACGATGCCTGCTCCGACTATGACGATGGTTTCGTGAGATTCAGACATCTTGTTTGAGGATTTGGGAATTGGGTTGAATGTGATTGTGAGAGATAATGTGTGATGTTATGAAGAAGAGTTGGGAAAGATGACCAGAATATATAGTTTTGGGCTCGAATTGAATACATCCCATATTGTCACATCATTTTCTCAGTATTCAATGGGCGAAGTCTTTACATGTCTCCTATCGATTCGGTAACCAAGACTCAAGACTTCCGTGTTTGGACAAGGGCGACGGCTTTGACCAATCACACGAAAAGTTCCTCACTCACTTACACCACGAAGCTGAGACCCGCAAGCTGTCGACACGCCTTTGGATGTGGGATTCAGACAATGTGGTCTAGCGAGGTGGGGCCAACTAATACACCCTACAAACCAATCATCCAAAGCAAGTTGAAGAAGGGGAATTCAAGAACTGATCCTCAAGGCAAGGTTTGTTTGAAGAAGCAAAAACTCCCTATGGATTGCTATTACGACAACTCAGCAGGCTGGTTGCCCTCCACTTCCGCAGCCCTCGGATAAGCCGAGAGCTCAACGGGAGGCGGCGTGGCAGCGTCGACTTCCGTCATCTCTGTCCCGTGGCCGGGTAACTCTTGCTTCGCATCGTATCCGAAACCTTTCTGCCCATATCCTTCATTGCCCGTATTGCCCTCATTCTGCGCGGCGATTGCGGCCGCAACCCTCTGCTGTTTCCTCTTTCGAAGGCAAACAAATAACCCAGCACCGAGCAGCAAAAGAACCAACGCCACCGCTCCCACCGCAATCCCCGCGATAGCACCAGTCGAAAGACCTGCCCCTGCAGCAGCTCCAGAGGCCTGGGAGGAGGGCACACGCCCGTAGAGCGGAAAGACGGGGTGTTTAACCGATAGGGGTCCCCCGGCAGCACTCGGGAGACCGGCGAGGGAAATTTTCCTCCACGAGCTCCAGAGCGTCGACTCCCGCCCGCCGCTCGTCGCGATATTATTGATCCAGATTTCCGTGTTCGTGCTGAGGAGACTGACGCAGTCCCGGTACGGCGTCCCGCCCGGCGTGGGCACGAGGCAGGTGTACGAGCTCGGGCAGCACCACGTCTGGGTGTACGTCTGCGCGCTCTCGAGGGTCAGGGTTGTCTCGCACGCCGTTGTCCAGCCGGAGATGCAGGCTGTGCCTGGGTAGGCTACGCTTGCGACGTCGCCTTCATTGTCGTTGTGTCAGCGTTCTCGGGCGCATTTCAAAAGTCAGTGGAGGGAGAGTAGCCTTTTCTTACTGAACGTGTTCCCGGATGGTCGCCAGATTGCGGCGTAACTCTCGGGGAAGCATTGCGTCGGTAGGCTGGCCGTGATCTCGGCTACGACTTGGTCTCTCAGGCACTCGACGTCCCCCGTAAGATCCTCCGTCTTGCCTACGAGGCAGCGAATGTCGACGGGGGAACAGAGGTCGCTAGGTGGTGTGAAGGGGGTGGTCTGCGGTGCCATAGAGAGGACCTTTGTCTGCTGGAAGCCGCCCGGTGTGAAAGTCAGTGTTACGAGCAGAGGCTCGTACGTCGTTTTCGAGGCCATCGTGAGGTATCTGCCTAATGTTTACTCGCTCGTTCGTGAAGGAGTATGGCTTTTTCCTTTTGCCTTGACCGCACAGAATGGGTTGAAGGAATACAGAGGGTTCCAAAACCTTCTGCTTGGTTGTGGGTGCTGGAGAGTCTTGGTATCTTTGATGTATGTGACTTTGCTAGCGGCTCAGTGTCCTCGTGACAAAAGTGTTTTCCATCACACAAGGCTTACTCTACTCTCTGTTTGGAGAAGTTCGTCCTGATTTTGGCTGCGCATGTTGCTCAGCCTGCTTACGGCCAAGGACCATAGTTATCTAGTTGCATATGCTGTGTTTCCATCACGATGGGCCGGACTTTTCAGAGTGTGGGACAAACCAGTCAAATATTATCACTCGCTATCGTGGTCAACGTGACCACAACAGCCTCAATATATGATCTTGGTCATGTAGTTTGAAGCACATTAAGATCGCGAACATGCAAGATGTGCCCCAATGCTATGAAACTGGACATCGCAAAGTCTAAATTGATCAAAGGTGCTCGACCACAACCGATACAAGTCCAAATAAGACAGCATTTACTATTACACTGACTCTGAGACTATTGTATTCTTACTATACTCTACCAGAGGATTTTTACGTCTATATTAGAGATATTAGAGCACAGAAAATCCTTTAATGGGTCAGGAGGCGCCGGATCATTTGCCAGGCTCCTCTGGAACTCAGTCCTCAACTTTGTCATTGGCTGTAACACCCAGGTGTTGAACGACAAGATATCCGATTCCTCTTTCGGGTCCCTGACGGTATTGAACAGGTAAGGTGACTCGAGACGACCCGACGACTGGTTGACTTTAGGCTCCCAGACGAGATGCAGCTTCCAGTCTTTCCATTTGATCGCCCGCAGCTCCTCTTTGATGTAGAACAAGAATCCCAACCTCTCGGACTTTACGTTGGTAGGGTCCTGGAAGAAGGTTGTCTGATCGATGCCGTCAATGGGGCGGTCGTCTGGAACCCCAGACTTGGTGATGGACAAGACGGTGGTAAAGATGTCCGTTATGTGAACTATCTCGTTGGACGTCACGCTCTCCGGAACGTGCCCCGGCCACCGTATGATGAAGGGCACACGCAGGCTGCCTTCCATGGCAGTGTGATATGTTCCCGACCACGGCCCCGCCGTGCCCCTGTACGGCTCTCTAAACTCGGGACCATTGTCAGAGGCAAAGATGACGACCGAGTTTTCCCGGATTCCGAGGGCGTCGATGTGGTCGAGTAGTTGGCCTACGCGGTGATCCATCTCAGCCATGGAGTCGGCAAAGTCGCCTTGCTTGGTGGTTCCAGCAAAGTCTTTGTGTGGAAGCGTCGGGAAGTGAAGGTGAACGAGAGGGTGGTAGAGGAAGAATGGCCGTTCCGCCGCAACTTGACGAGACAGCCAGTCTTTGGATTTCTCCACCAGCATCTCGTCGATGAGTCTCCTAGCTTCCAAGTCGTAGACGCGCACATTCTCCGACTCCTGCCCGGCAGCTCCCTTCATGATGTACGGCATCTCCGCCACCTCGGGGGTATACCCGATCGCAGAGGTGAACTGTGTCTCATCAGTCGTCCGTGGGATCCCAAACCACTCGTCAAAGCCTCTGTCCGAAGGATATCGACCGGGAACATCTCCCAAATGCCACTTCCCGTGATGCGCAGTAGCATAGTCGTTCTCCTTGAGGCACTCAGCCAGCGTCCTCTCCCACGGAGTCAGACCCTGCGGGAACCCCGCAGGGACGGACTGTCGGCAGCCGGTCCGGATCGGGTGCCGGCCCGTCATCAGCGCGGAGCGGGTTGGGACACAGTCGCTCTCCACGTTGAAGTTGTGCAGCAGGAGACCTTGCGTCGCGAGCTTGTCGATCCGGGGCGTTGCGGCGCCGCGGAGGGCGCCACCGCCGTAACAGCCCAATTCACCCCAGCCGAGGTTGTCGGCTAGGATTAGGACGACGTTTGGACGATTTGGGTCTCGAGACATGGTGTGTGTGTGCAAAAGATGAAGAATTCGAGCAAATATGTTTTGCCTGCAGACAAAGATTTATGAGGAAGGTATAGATGTTGAACCCCACGTTCGTCTGATTCGCGGGTTGCGTACCATCACGCCATAGACGGAGTTGACCTCCGTTTGCAACTTCATGTCGTAACAACCTTTTTAGACGTCAACGACGATCCTTGTTTGCATCGACTGCCATGCGAACTTTGAACAACTGTTTCTTCTGTTTTTTCTCGCAATGTTTATGTCCAAAGATAACTTAACTTGCTTCATATCACAGGATGTGCTGAGAGAAGGAATCGAACTGGTATTCTCTAGAGGCGTGATAATAGTCGAGATTCATTTCTTTTATTATTCTTTTACTTTTCCAATCATCCAACCCAATGAGGCAGTCCATCGCTTAGACAACATACCGCCCTTCCATGCCCCATGCTACTGCTAGTCATTCCGTAATCCTCAAATGTTGGTAGTGAAAGAGGTGTACTTCTCTAAAGTCAGCAAGTAATCAAAACACTAAGCAGGTAGAGGAACCTACTTAGACGCAAACGCAGTCGTATCTGGGGTCAAGCTTGAGACCGCAAACGCAACCGCCAACTCCTCCCAAGATGTTTGTGCACCGGTCGCCTGCTTTTGGGCACTGCTGCCAGTTTTGGCGCTTGATGGATTGCTCCGATGCGGGCGCGGCCGAGGCCAGTCCAGCAAGAATGGTTACGGCTCCGAAAAGAGTTGAGAACTGCATTGTGGTGTAAGTTGAAGGAGGTTTTATGAGAGGAGCGATGAGTTATGGTTAGATTGTTGAACTGAAGCCTACCACATAAGTGCAGTACCATGCGAGTGCAGTACCGACGCTTTATAGAGGCATCATCCTAAAGTCGGTGTCCTCGGAATACGATGATACGAATGTCTCGGGGACTTAAGGCACATGGCCATTGAAGTAGGGGGAGATCACGATTGCCAGGTAGATAATTGCCAGGCTGACCCACGGGGGAAGTTAAGCCACGAACTACGACTCATTCAACCGCGAGATGTGGATAGATATTCGAGAAACATTTAATTAACTTCAGCCTACATTGACAAAAGACGGGTCCGGCTTTCGAATCCCGAACAGTGACATTCAGGAACTAGAACTTGTCAAGGGGCTCAGTTTGGTTAGTGACACTTTCATGTAAACCGAATCAACGTCTAAGCCCTTAAAAATGAGAAGCAAAAGCTTGGCAGGTCGAGCAGTTGTTGAATAAGTAGGATCTCGGATAGCTCACTCATATCATATGTAACTGGCGATGAGGAGCCTTCCCTCACAAGTCACGACGTACGACGATAATATCCAAGATTGGGAGGAAAATATTACTTGATTAAGTTAATAAACGGGATTAATGAATGGACCGGCGGGATTTTGAGTAGCCGTGATGAAGATAATAATCATGCCGGTGGGATGAGAGCTGGGAACCCGGATCGGAGACGGAAAATATTTCTTGTCATGTAGATCCATCTATGTCTGACATCGACATCGAGCTTCGCCGCTTACATACTTTACAAACTACCCCAGCCATGGCCGAGCATTTTCTTCCACCTACAGCCTTGGAGCGAGAAACGAGGAGAAGTCTTTGAGATGATCACATTCTGGTTTGGGGGTCCACAACACCTCAAGAGCCCGGAAGAACGGGGTATGAGAATTTCAAATACGAGTATATTACTAGCTCTAAAGGCCGACGGAATTCCCTTAATTGGAGGTGTTCAGGTAGCTGGCGACTTTCGCAATAGTCCCATCTCGCTGTGAGCACGCGAGCATGCGCCAGTCGTGTAGGCTGTTCCAAGGACTCTCTAATACAGAGACTGCCAAGCAAGGTACATCACACAAGTAATACAGGCTAAGGTATTGTACACATGAGAAACGAGATACCTTAGTACAGATAATGAAATTGACATTCCTGAGCTCTGTAACCGACGGCGATTGTGGGGGATTTCACTGTTGAATCCACCACCGTTGAAGGACCGTGCGAGATGTACAGACATTTGGCCAAAGCTGTCTCCCGAACACAGTACGTACCCTTGTTAAGCGAGTCTTATCGGGGGCGGGGTGGTTCGATAAGGATTTTTTTGCGCCAGGAAAAATTTGGGACACTGAGAGGACGGGATCCTCGACCACACCGGCTTTGACTTGCATCGTCTCTTCCACAGTTGGTCCCCGACGGAATTGGAATACGACAAGCACAATGTCGACTCCAACTCTTGCCGAGAAGCTGGACAAGATCCGCTCCCCGGGTCTTCAAAGTCAAAAGAGGGTAAGCTTTACCGAATGTTTTCAGTTTGGCTGTTATCCTTACTAACATGGTTCAAGACTGCCGTAGTCCTTGAGGCGGTCGACACAACACTGAAGGAGCAAAACGCTCAGCCCACACCGACTGGCTACTTCGCTGCCCTTCTCGGCCTCCTCACCCAAGCTGTAGAGAGTGGCAACATCAGCTCCGACACGACGACCTCCGTGGTTTACCTCCTCGATATCGTCACCCCGTTTGCGCCTCAACCTATCCTTCGCGCCAAGTTCACCCAGATCCTCACCTCGCTCGCACCCGTTCTCCTGCAACAAGATGCCGAAGCCCTCCTCCTCCGCTCGTCCATCGGATGCCTTGAGTCTCTTCTTCTCGCACAAGATGCCGGTGCTTGGGAGCTGGGCGTGACCCAGATCGGCCCTCGCAGAGCCGTCGCCGGTCTGCTCAACCTCGCTCTCGAGCAGCGCCCGAAAATCCGCAAGAGGGCCCAGGAAGCGCTCCGAAACGTCCTCAAGAACCCGCCCCCGAGCCCCTCACTCGACCACCCGGCTGCGGACATGTGCGCTCACACCGCTCTTGCTAACCTCGAGGATATTGCCGGAAAGGCCGCGGCGGCAAAGAAGCAGAAGGGAGCCGAGTCTGCCCACGATCCCGCTCTCATCCACGCTCTCCAGCTCATCAAGACCATTGCCTCTGCAAGCGGTGGCTGGCCCAGCAAGAAGATCGAGTCTCTGTGCGACCTCCTCCTCGGAATTTCAAGATCCGGCAACGAGTACATGACGATGGCGACTTTTGAGATTTTCGAAATGATTTTCGAGGGTATGGCCGACGATGTCGCTTCGTCCAAGCTCCCACGACTGATGGAGATTATTTCGGAACTACGCCCTGCCGCAAACGACACGCAGCTCATTCCGCCATGGCTGGCAATCCTCTCGAGAGGCTACGATGTCTCTGCACAACTCGACCCTGATGAAGTTTTCCAGAACCTGCCCGAGATTTTCTCAATGGTCGCCCAGTACCTCGAGTCCCCCGCGCACAACATCCGGATTTCCGCTTCCGAGTGCTTGGTCTCATTCATGGCGAATTGTGTTCCGCAGCCGGTCATTCTGGAGCCATCAGTTTATGATGAGAAGACTTTGGACAAGATTGCCAAGATTGCCGAGTCCCTGCTCAGCCTGAAGTACCAACAAGCCTGGATGGAGAGTTTCAACGTCTTTGGCGCCATGTTCGACTCCTTGAGATGGCGGGCAAACCCCATGATGCTTAACATCACCAAGGCTGTCGGAGAACTCCGTGGCAGTGACTCTTTCCAAGGCAAGAAGGAGGCCGACGAAGTCATTGGCAAGGCCATCCGCGCCATGGGCCCCGAGGCTGTTCTGTCCATCCTGCCCCTCAACATCGCGAAGCCCGCCAAGGGTCAACAGGGCCGCGCCTGGATGTTCCCCATCCTCCGTGACTACCTCAGCAACACCAACCTCGCGCACTTCCGTCAAGAGATGGTCCCTCTCAGTGAGCTCATGTTCCAGAAGGTGCTTGATCATGGCAAGGCCGAGAAGACTTTGGAAGTCAAGATCTTCGAGACCCTTGTGCAGCAAATTTGGGCGACCTTGCCCGGCTACTGCGATCTCCCGCTTGACGTTACCGAGGCTTTCGATCAGTCCTTCGCCGAGCTCCTGGCAAACATCCTTTACAAACAGGTCGAGCTGCGTCTGGAGGTCTGCCGTGCGCTCAAGATTCTCATCGAATCTAACCAGGCCATTGCGACCATCGAGGATGATGACGAGGAAGATCTCGTTCTTCAAAGCCGCATCTCCAGGGCTACGGCGAAGAAGAACCTCGAGCACTTGGGCAGCTTTGCCGGAAACATGCTCGCCGTTCTCTTCAACGTCTACACCCAGACCCTTCCTCAGTCGAGAGGACCTATCCTCCTCACCATCAATGCTTTCCTCAGCATCACCCCCAAGCAGGAGCTCATCGACACCTTTGATCGGGTCAGCAAGATGCTCGCAGCGGAACTGCAGCAGACTGCCGACCAGGAGAAGCCCAAACAACAACCCAAGCAGAATGCAATGCCCTCAACCAGCAACACCTTGATGGATCTGATCATCTGCATTGCGCTCTACCTGCCTCGCGAAAGCTACACGGCTCTGTTCGAAATTGCCAATGTCATTATCTTCAGGGACAACGAGCCTCAGTTGCAGAAGAAGGCCTACAAGCTGGTTCCCCGCCTTACCGAGTCAGAAATCGGCAAGCAGGCCCTCGCAGCACGCAATGACGAGCTGCAGCAGATGTTCCTGACGAGCGCCGAGAAGGTTTCCGCCCCCGCCCGCAGAGAACGCCTTGCTGCTCTCTCTGCGCTGCTTCCATTCATCCCCGATACATCCCTCCACTTCATCCCCTCCATCCTCAGTGAAGTCGTCATTTGCTGCAAGGAGAACAACGAGCGCGCCAGAGAGGCTGCGTACGACCTCCTTGTGCAAATTGGCCACCGCATGGAGTCGGCCAACGACGCCCCTATCGATAACAGCAAGATTCCTCACATGCCCGCAGACGCGCCTGCCGGTAAAGCCAACATTGAGGAGTTCCTCACCATGGTCAGCGCCGGTCTCGTCGGCAGCACTCCTCACATGATCTCAGCATCCATCACCGCCCTCAGCCGCGTGCTGTACGAGTTCAGAAGGTCCGTCAGCACTCAGACCTTGGCCGACCTCGTGCAGACCATGGACCTCTTCCTGACCTCCAACAACCGCGAGATCGTCAAGAGCGTCCTGGGCTTCGTCAAGATCTGCGTCGTCAGTCTTCCCTCGGAGCTCGTCATCCCCCGCCTGTCCTCCATGGTCCCCAACCTCATCATCTGGAGCCACGAGCACAAGGGCCACTTCAAGAGCAAGGTCAGGCACATTCTAGAGCGCATGGTTCGCAAGTTCGGCTTCGACCTCGTCAACCAGAACTGCCCAGAGAGCGACAGGAAGCTCATTGTCAACATCCGCAAGACCAAGGACCGCGCCAAGAAGAAGAAGGATGCGGCGAAGGCCGCCGGCGAGGAGAGCGACGAGGAGGACGGCCGCCAAGGACGCAAGTTCGACAACGAGCTCGACCAGGCCCTATACAGCAGCGAGTCGGACGATTCCGACGACGGGTCCGACGACGACGAGGGCGGTGCCGCGGCCGCTGGCGCCAAAGGCAAGCGCGGCAACAGGAAGGGCGGCAATACCTACATTGTCGAAGACGAGGACGAGCCGCTCGATCTGCTCGACCGTAACGCCCTGGCCAACATCTCGTCCACCAAGCCCGTCAAGATGCGCAAGCCAGGCCGGACCAAGGCCAAGACCGATCTGGACGGCAAGCTGATCCTCGGCAAGGATGACGACGAGGCGATGGAAGTCGACGGCGTTGAGAACGATGGCTCCGGCGTTAACGCCTACGTTGCCGCGCTCAAGGGCAAGGACGCCGGCAAGAGAGGTCTCCGCGGTAAGCTCAAGTTCAGCAAC